TTCGTAACCAGTTGTAGGCGAAGTTAAAGGCGATGGCGCTGCCAAGGCACATGCATGGGTGAAAATATTGGCCAAGGCTAGGCAAAGTGAAAGGGAAAGAGAAAGGGAAAGAGAAAGGGGGTGGCCCCAATCATTTTTGTCCTATACGGACACACATTCTAGAAAATTCTAGCACATGGTGCTATATAACCTTGTGCTACTGAGAAGAAATTTCTAGCCGTTGTTCGATCGGCGGCTCAAGTGAAAAGGAAGCGCGAGGAAGATCGCAGATCAGGAACTCCGCATCAAGCGCTCCAAGCGGAAAATTTTCCAAGTAGAAAAGCTAGAGATGGGATTAATGAAATGATAATCGAGAAGTGATTTAATAAATACGATCGGACAGTGAAACCGTTACACAACGAAAGCTGTTACTTTTATTGTCTACGAAATCGAGAACAAAATATCTTTAGGATCAAACAGGTGAACGCTACTCATACTCATACATGCGTATCTAAATACTAATTTGACTCATCCTTCACATATTACAAGCACAATCAAGATTTGCCTTGTTGGATTGCCTTGATTCTTGCGTCGCTTTCTTCCTGAAACAGCTGCATATTCAACTCATCATTTGCAATTAGAGCCTGTGCTCCTCCATTGAATTTTCTTTTTGTTATTCGACAAGCTCTATTTTCACTTCACTCCCATGATGCCATCTTTTTAGGTAGATTCTGCATCTGTGTTTTGTTATTGCCTTTACTGCTTGATGGTTTTGGTGTTACCAGTTTCTTAGATTTAGAAGTCTTCAGGATATCTGGTGTACATTTGCTTCAGTCCACTACAATTGTTGAGATTATGTTTAACAGTCTACACGTGCAAACAAGAATCAGCAAATTACCATAAGTATTTGGGCTTCCATCTATCATGGTGTCTATAGTGTTGCAGTGATCCATCACTATCTTTGTCATAGATGCTTTACCCGCTGTTACACGTTCATCTTCTGGGTTGTCTGCGATAACCTCTTCTTGCATAGTAATCACAGCATCTTCAATTAATACAGCATCACCATCAAGTTTTGACGTAAATCCCGACATTTGGGTTCATATCATCCTCTTAATTGTAAGTTCAACACTTTCAACTGGAAATTTTTGCGACGGACCAACCTCAGTCCTGTGGATATACGTCTTTTTGCTGCAAGCTTCAGCTTTGTCGGTTTCTTCAAATTGTCATATTTACTCCTTAAAACTTTTGGACTACGGTACATATCGCTACCCAAACAATTAAACTGTTTGAATATCGCAATTCACGATTCAATTTTCAATTTCTGGGAATTCACATCAGACTTTGATGATGTGTTGATGTTTTTGCACCAACTCCACCAACAACAACTCTTCCGTTGACATATGTCAGTATCACTAAGTGATAGTGATAAACCGAAGTTCGTCCTAAACTAGTTCAGTAGACCTGCGATTGAACTGTGACAGTACAACGCATCATCTATCGTTGAACCGTTGTCAAGCTTGAACTCAAGTTCATGTGAGCTCGGGTTCACTATTGATTTGTACAACTGGCTCTTAAAGATTGTCGCTTGTTACGAGTGCCGCTACCTACCATTTCTCCAGCAAAACAACCAAAGTAATAGAAAACACATAGTTCTCTTGGTTATTTCACTTACTAATCTAAAACTCGGCCCATTGATGAGGTGTTATTCTCATGCCACCTATCTATTCAGAATGCCGTATGTATAGGCGCTCCTCCAATGGAGTAGTTCTTGCTCTGATGGTACTACTTTTATGTACAACGCTGCTTCATGCTCCTTGCTAATCATCAGCACGTTTTAGATCTCTAGGTTGACAACAAATCGACCACTATGAGACGGCGCTTGTCTATCAGAACTGTAAAGGTACCTCAGTTTTCGTATATAGATGGCACCCTGAATTATCGAGTTTCAATATGCCTTACGTTCCTTGATATTGTCTTTTTACGGTATAATAACAGCCGTTTATCTAGTAATATTTCAAAATTACCCCCATCGATAAATGTTACATAATTCTGACGGATCCACCAACGACAGGTAGACAGAGCAGTGTTTTGATTTGGTTTCTTGTACTCTACACATTAATTTTGTACTTGCTAACAACACTTATTTTGAAAAAGTTTATTTGCATACAAAAAACTGCTGCAAGCAGGTTTTACTAGACTTACACCCAAATCATTATTGCCAACGTTACTTACTAATAGAAGGATGTCACTTGCTGATCAGCTGTTCGTCTCAGAAGATGTTAAAATGTGATGGATACCCGTGAAGTAGGGTTTAGTATCGACAGTTTTGAGTAGTAAGAGTGTTGTCAAAGGCAGGCGACCAGCAGGTTAACAATTACTAATTTGATAGTTGACAGAGAAATCAGCCGTCTTCCTTGAGAAGAAAAGTCCCAGCGGTCATGAACGTCCGGGCCAAAGGTGCCGTTATAATAAGTACGCCTCGTTTGAAGAAGCGGTATGCATACGGCCTGTATATATATGTTAGTTAAGTGATGAACGTCCCTCAAGGCACTTGACTGTGGCTTGACAGGGGTTGATATTCGATTCCTCAGTGCAGACAACCAACATTGCACTAACATAGGATGCAGATATGAGTTTGACAGGTATGTGAGTTTGAAAAATCTAGGCATAAAAACAAAGATCATATCTGTGACTTGTAAATGCATTTACTATATTCATAAAAATATTTACGCTGAATAGTATTTTAGGGCGATAAACATTTATTTAATGCCTATTTGCCGAGGTAGAACTTCGCCGAAAAGAGTTTTACTGGACATTATTCCATTACGACTCAGCCTAAAAGAATCCGGAAGTTATCAGCTAAGCTGACTCAATACCGCAGGGCAGGGTATGCGTACAAGTTCAATAAAATCCCTCCAATTCCAATAGCTGCATGGTAATAGCTAATGTTAACTGTCAAGGGACAAAGTTTCAAAACTACACTCATGTCTCCATTGTATGTTAATTCGTCCATCATTTGAGAGACACTTTCCACTGTAACTATTATAAATATCCAAAAATATGCAAAAAATCCGTGTAAGGTAATAACTGCTATCACTCTCAAGAGACAAAAAAATGTCAAAACTACACTCAAGTCTTCATTGTATGTTAATTCGTCCAACATCCGAGAGACACTATTGACTTGTGCGTCGTTCTTGTACGAGGGATGTCTTTTAAGTTTTGCATATAGAAACCTAGTAGGCCGCGCGGATCGAACGTCAGTACTGACTCTTAACCTCACTCTTTGGTAAACTTAAATTCAAAGTTTCACAACAATACGTGCAGTGTTCTCACTACAGTGAATTTTCAAGTGTCACCAAGTCATTAGAAAAATGGAACTCAATTTATTACAACTTTCAGAGACAATTATCGCAACAAGAATGCCTTGCTGAGTTACTGTCTGTTTTCGGCAACGAAGCCCCACATCAGTCGACAATTTCACGTTGGTATGAAGAATTCAAACGTGGACGGGTGAGTCTTAGCAACGATCTCAGGGTGGGTGCACCAAAAACGGCAGTCACCCAGGAAAACGTCGATGCTGTGCGCAAACTCATCGTTGAAGATAGACATGTGACATATCGCGAGATTGAGGCATCCTTGAAGATCTCAAAGACCTCAATTCAAAAAAATTTACATGATGAATTAAGAGTAAGAAAATTAGTTTCTCGTTGGATACCCCACCTTTTGACTGAAGAGCAGAAAGCAGCCAGGGTTAATTGGTGTCAAAAAACGCTTGACCGTTTCAATTCCGGAAACTCAAAAAATGTGTACAGCGTTGTTTGTGGTGATGAATCGTGGATTTACTGTTATGAACCAGAAAATAAACGACAGTCGGCTGTTTGGGTGTTCCAAGATGAAGGAAAGCCAACAAAAGTCATATTGCAACAATTCCTCTTAATGAGCAAAAAACTGTTACTGCGGATTGGTATACCACCATTTGTTTGCCAAAAGTCATCACCGTGCTTCGAAAAATCAACCCCGAAAGAAGAATCATCCTCCATCAAGCAAAGCAAGCTCACACACAGCCCAAAAAACAAGGCATTATTTAACGGAAGAAAACGTGGAATTATTCGATCATCCTCCATATAGTGCCGATCTGAGTCCTAACGATTTCTTTACTTTCCCGAAAATTAAAAACAGACTGGGTGGTCAAAGGTTCCAGTCACCAGATGAGGCAGTTGACCCATTCAAAAATGCCGTTTTTGATCTGCCAGCAAACGAGTGGAAATAGTGCTTCGAAAATTGGTTCGAGCGCATGCAGATATGTATTAATCTTCGTGGAGAATACTTCGAAAAACAATAAAGTCATTCAAAACTACCTACCGTGTTGTTTTATTTCCATGTGCAAATCTTAAAAGACATCCCTCGTATTATAAATACCGCTGCCCATTTACCAAAGTCACTGCTCTGTACGCCGCCATATTAGTCTAACCCTGGTCTAGCGTGCACTCTCGTATATGAAGCTGACCTGTCGCAAATTTAGTCTGATTAATATTATATAACTTGACAAGAAGGGAAAGTCTATGTATCCTGCATAAATCAAATCATTTTTTTCAGTATTCAGATTCCTAATACCGCCGATCTATTTCTATGGATAAATGCCACTGTTTTTACGGCCTTGTTTTATATTCGTCCTATTGAAACCGGGAACGAGAAGGAAGCCGAATGATTTTCTATATCATTGTGAAAAAACCTTTACGTTTTTGCGTAGGTAGGGCGGAATACCAACGAGCTTCGTTGAAACGATCCTTTTTATTGTACGCGCATCTGAAGTTCAGGTTTTGCGAGCTTTTGATAGAGTAATCAACGCTACGGTAGTAGGAATTTTATTAGCTGAACTCAAGTACCGCTGAACGTGATACTTTGCACTTGAAACTAATCATTTGCCTAGCTAAATCATGTAACATGTCTTTCAATATCTCTTTAAGGTACCTACGATATTGTTATTGTAATTGAAAAATGCCACCGCGCTGGCCAAAATGTTGTACAGTAAAGAGAAATTAAAACTTACAGAGACTCTAATCGCCATGGAAAAAAAGAAAGCGTATTGCACCAGGATGGCGAAGTTAGTTTAAGTCGCGCACCGGATAAATACCAGATAGCACTCTTGCTGTTTCTTTCATCCAATTTCCACTCCAAGAGGTTCTTGAAGGATACCAGCATATCAGTTCAAGCAATATCTTCGCATATGATGGTGAAAATTTTCTAATTCGGATCTCATTATGAAGGGGCACCTTGTAACGAATCTGCATGTTGCCAGGACCAAATTAGAGTCAACAAATATTCAAACAATTTTTTCTAAACAAATTTCAAAAATTGTTTCTTTCAAAGTTCTTTGAAACACCCTTTATATAATTTCAAACCTGCGCTTCCGGATTATTTCGCTGTTTCAGTTAAAACAGATTCTAATATACTGGGTCAGTTGAAGAAGTTTTTCTTGATAAATACTTTATCTACTGAAGGATTTTGCAAGCGGTGCAGCCATAGTGAAGTACTAACTCATCGTACTGCACTGCTAATGCTCATGCGGATCTCAACATGCGCAACCCCAGCAGCTAAATCAATAGCGTATGCCATAGATGGAGGTCGGACTGTCAAAAGTAGAAGAAAAAATACATATTTGATAGAAGAATAATCTATTTTCCAAGACTGCATCACGTTTTGAAGTCTGTTGATGCCAACAACTTTGTTTACAACCTTTGACATGGCATGGCCTCCAGCCTAGCTAGCGCGACTCTTAGCTTTTCAGATTACCCCATTTGGTATTCAGCTAAGCAGGAAGTTATGTTTGCAAAAGCGGTTAGATATGACGTTTCTCAAGTTTCTCGTCATTTATTTCGAGCATTTCATCATATTTGGACAAATTGCTAATAGATCATATTTTTGTTTCAGTTGTTTAAATAGAGCGGACATAATCCGCGTGTATGATGGCCGGTCGACGTCAGCCCCCTCTATCCGACTCCTATGCAACGAAGGCGCAGAGTACGAGGTGCTGTCCACTGGGTCGGAGCTCTTGGTGGAGTTCGTGGCCAACTCAGACCGGCCCGGGAGGGGGTTTCGAGCCAAATACCAGTTTCAGCCTGCGGTGGACGACACATCGGTTGGTGAGTACCTCCTAGTTATTTTATGGCTCCTCCGCATATTGGATCAACGTACGCCAACACCAATATGTATATACCAAAGCAATATGTACTAGTCGAGTGTTATGGGCATTGACGCTGCATGGCATTGGTTTTCACATCCAACGAATGATAGAAGGCCATATCATTCCTTCAGTAATAGACAGGTATCTCGATATATGATCTCCAATACGAGGGGTATAGATTAAACAAGATGCTTTCGTCCGTCCGACCAAAAAAGGACGACAGCCGACCATGGACAGCTGTTTCGTGCTTCTGAGCTACTCATCAGCATTGTATAGGCTTGGTCTCTTATCTCTGGACGAGCGAACAAAAGTATTACAATGATCCTTTATACCGGAGGTACGGTTTATCAGCATGTAATAGCGCAAAGCGCCATCTATCGCACTAGATCTGTTCAATGACAAGTAGACCACATCTACTCTCAGCCAGAAACATCAGCCATATAGCGGCACGGCTATTAAACTCGAACTAAGACCCTTGACAGTTCCAACTAATAGCAGCGATGCGTGATCCACAATGATCGATTCTGGTGCGATAGATGGCGCTTTGCGCTATGTCATGACGAAGGTGTGTAGATATCATATGGTCATAACAACATTGTGCCATCAGTGAAGGCCCCAACACCGCCCAAGGTTTTTCGACTTGTAAGGAAGTCAAAAGCATTTCTAATGTCCAATTTTGGTGGTTGACTAAGGTCCATAAGAATGCAGAAACGTTTTTGCTTGAAGAGCAAATTGCGATTTTACAAACTTTTGGCCAATTGTCATGTGCGGGCTAAATCTTGAAACTGAATTTTGATCCAGCTAACAGCAATTGTGCTGAAATATTGTATACATCTTTGGTTTACGTGACAGTACACAATGAATTAAACGCCGCCATTTTAAATCCAGTGGGCTAAGCAAAATGACGATTTAAAATTTCCATAATCACCCCTACGCTATGGGTTTGAAATAGAATGAGCTTGATAAGAGAAACACAATAAGTCAAGTGGCATCATTCTTAATCCACCTCCGAAAATTATTAGTTGAAAAATAATTCTACTCTTTATCTCTTTAAAACTTTTTTATATGTGAATGTCTGTACGCCTTAAGTTGTTCCTGTTTGTAGTTTGTAAATACTTATGTTTGTTTTGTTTTTACTTTTAATTATGTACTTCCCCTTTAGGACGAGTCTTATGTCATTTTATGATCTACAACACAATAAATGTATCTATCTATAAATGGTTTGGCAACCTGATTTTCATCCTCATCCCATTCGATATGAAGATAGCCGAAAACCTAGGTGTCTGGCTCTTGACTGCACGACGTTTTGTCCTATGCACCACTGTTACGGTCGGTTAAGTCGAATTTCAGCTTAATAATGTTAGATAGTTCACTAAAATATAGGTACGCTTGATTCCTTTGGTCAATTGATCAAGCCTAGTTATAGATATTAGTACGTCCAAATTTAGGTAATATATGATTTATACCGATCGGAATCTCATCATATGAATGAAGCCGGGGACTTTATGAAGTCCTGTTAATAAAATATCTGTAAATTGGATACAAGTTACGGAACTATTTATTTAGTAGGTATCATAAATACTGAAAATTGCATTAAGTAGGTTCACTCTGCACTTCTCAGTTCATAGAGGATTATGTTCAGCAGAAACTAGACCCTCTGAGAAAAGAGTCAGCCAAACAGGTTCATGGTCCATACAATTAGTCCATAGACATTCTTACCCTGCTTCGCTGGAAGTTCATCTGGCATACGTCGCCTTTCCTTGATACCTAACCCGGTCAGACGTGGCAGCACGGCCACAACATAGGAAATACTATGTTGGGCCGGCACTCCGCCGAGAGAAGAAGCAGACATGTAGAGAAGTATTTCACACTCCTTTACATTTTAGAGGGTGGGCCGGTGAAAACCAGAAAAAACCAATTTTGACCAGTCAATGTTCATACCTTCTTTATTAGTCTTGTCACTTTCACCACCTCATCGAGGCGAATTCGAAGTCTTAAATCGTAAATAGGATCAGGGATACTTCAGTTTCAGTGTTTTGCGTAGAATATAAAATCGCTGATCTCCAAAATCGTGAACTGGCAGCCTGTCATAGTTTAGCGTTTTTAAACATAACAACTACGTTAAAATGAGGGATATTCCACTCAAAAAATAGTTAAAATCTGACATATTTTTTGAAGCGAATGATCTATGTGTTATTACCTTTTCGAATGAAACCTTCCAAGAGACGAAGATTGATATAACATACTATGTCGTTAGCGACTCAATGTACAAGAACGCTAAGCTTTAAGAGGCTGCCAGTTCACGATTTTGCTAGCGATTTAATATCTTAGCTTCATAAGCTTCACATAAGTAGCTTTAAAGTGAGGTATGGCATGGCACCCGATCCCATTGAAGACTTAAGGATTGGATTTCACCCCGCCGAGGACGTGGAAGCGACAAGATTGATAAATAATAGGCGCAACAGATTCCCCTTCCAAATGAAAACCGATGGATCCGATCGAACCAAACACCATTTATGAGAAAATAGCCTTATTTCTTTCTCTAGAAATGGTGCGGCTGCACCATGTGTACATGTGTAAATGAGCCAGCGAAATAAATGTTTTCATTATCCCACCTGATTACCAGATCATCGTCGCAGTACAATAGGTCCACTGTTAAGCATCCGAATCACGAATCTGTACAAGATTTCGTGCCTATGACAGCTGTATTCTTTTTGCTGTTCCAACTAATGATGGATCTACTATATCTATATTATAGAGCATTACTTAGCGTTAAGATGCTTCTTGACATTTCTATTACAGATAAGTATTTATTTCATACAATCGTCGACTAAGTCAGTCGTCGGATCCTAGGACCAGTGCAGGTACTTACCAAGAAGGCTCGAACTAATCCCAACTCCATAGCTTTGCGTCATTTTCTTACAGACGTTCGATAACCATCTTCCGGCTTCATCGTTAAATCATCTCTTTATCAGACATTCGCCATATGAAACATTCGCCCTCTTGGATTTTTCATTTGATACCCAATATCATTGAGGTAACTGTGGAGATGAGTAATAATAAATTGTCCCAAGAACTAAACGTGTGTGAAATTTCAGCAAAATCAAACACTGGAAAGTACGAAAAATGTAACAATCATTATTTGATTACGAACGTGCAGACATGTTAAATTAAATAGAAGCTTGTAAAGATCCGACATGCGTAATTTTAACCTCCCCTTCAGATTATCTATTTCGACCAACCAGTTCAGCTGCTCAAAATACATCTAATTTTTCTGACAAACTCGGTAAATTACTCCACCCTATACTATGCTCCAACCTTTATACATTCCTTCTATTACGTATAGTACTGTAAAACTTAAAAACCGTTATAATTGTATCAACGTCATCCAGGGTAATTTATTAAAGCCCGCTTTTCTCATTAGTAAGCATTCATAAAGTAACTCGACTGTAGTTAATATAATTTGAGATTTTATTTCGCTTCGAATGCGCTCCTTTTTTCTCTCTCCCTCTTGGAATAAGCACATTCACATCTGCATGGTTTATTGCCGTTGTTTTGCTACTACCTTGCTACCGGACAATGATATATTACGAGAATTATTCTGCATTTTTCGTACAAAAAATGCGCAAGAGATGAGATCCTGCTTACTTCATAATAACTGAAATAATTGTTTTGAAGCATCAAATATTTTTTCTACATTCTCCTGAATAAGTACGTTTATCTATGGCTGGATGGTGTAGCTTAGTAGATTTCCCCAGAATTGCGTTCGACTATCCAGCTCATAAACTCTCGCATAGTATGATCAATTTATTTGTTTTCAATTCTATACAGGGTGACTTCGAAGTTGAGTCATTTATTTTAACAGTGAGTAGATCTGATCAAAAGAAATGTTTTTTTCCTATAAAATTTTTCTGGTAAAATTAAAGTAACAAAGTTATAGCCCTTTAGAAGTTTGAGTACCGCCCTGTCTCAATAATAATATTATGTGCTCGTGTTTGGCAACAACGGATATAATCTGCCTTATCGGTTCATCACATCGGAAACAAAAAACCGAAATAATTTGAAACGCTTATCACGATGTTTTTACTACAATTTTATTCAGTTGTATTCAGTCAAGGTGTCAGTCGGTAACGCGTGAGTGAATAGTGGTGTTTGTTGCGTGGCTCAAACGAAATAAAAAATGACACATGTTTACGAAAATGCTGAACTTGTGGACATGATTCTTATTTACAAAATGCTGCCGCGGCATCACGGATTTATGCGAATCGGTTTCCCAATCGAGCGCAACCAACCCCTCGTGCCTTTGTTAATGTAGTACAAAGGGCTCGTGAATCAGGTGACTTAAGACCTCACAGGGGAGAGCATGCCGGTGCTCCAAGACCGCACGATCAAATAGAACTAGAAGGACAAATTTTAGAATTAGCAAATGATGATCCAACACTAAGCACCCGACAAATTTCAACTCAACTGGCGATTAGTCAATATAAAACTTGGAAAACTCTACGTGAAAATCAGTTCTATCCGTTTCACATTCAAAAAGTGCAGTCCTTACAACCGGAAGATCATGAACAAAGGGTTGACTTTTGCAATTGGCTTTTAAATAAACATCAAAATGATGACAGTTTTTTAAATCAAATTTTAGTGAGTGATGAAGCCCTCTTTACTAGAAACGGAATTATTAATTCACGTAATTCTCACATTTGGGCTATCGAAAATCCCCATGAAATAAGGGAAACCAATTTTCAACATCGATTTGAACCAATCAACCTGTGGGCTGGAATAGTTAATGGAATTTTAGTGGGGCCTTTTGAATTACCAAATCGCTTAACTGGTGAAAATTATCTTGATTTCTTGCAACACAATTTGCCTGGTTTACTGGAAGATGTGCCTTTTAATATAAGACAAAACATGTGGTACCATTATGCAAGAAATGTGCGTGAATTTTTAAATAGACAATTT